TGGCTCAAATAAGAGGAATGATGAATGAACAATATGCTCCGGACTAATTTGTATGAAGAGTTTCATATTTTTTTAAAGTTAAATTGTATTTTTATTGTGCAATTTAAATATTAAAATTATTAAAATATTATTAATAAAAAATTACAAAAAAATTTTATTAAAAATATTTTAATAATTTTTAATCCAAACTATAATTTAAGAAGTACAATTCAACTTAAAAAACACATTTTGTTATACAAATCATAAAAGAAAAGATATAAAATCTCAAATGATAAAGGAATCTACATATGTTTATAGTATCACAAGCTCTTTTTTCTTTTTCCTTTTTTCTTTTTAATATTATGAGACTGACAAATTCTACAGAAATCTACATTCTATAAACCATAGACTACAAACTACAAAAATTGTTTGAACCGAACTAGTATTTCTAAGATTCAAATTTGCGTTTAAAGTTTCAAATGTAATAAAAGTCTGTAGAGATTATTTCAGCAGTTAACAATTTAAATCTCAAAATATTGAAGAAGTCTCGTGCGAAGTCATGAATACTCTTTAAGTTATTTATTTATATAATATATTGAGATCTCGAACTTATTCTTCTCAAAATAACGACATCTAGGGTGGATGTAGTTCATGAGAGAAAATTTCTTATCGAGAACATGACTTCATTTTGATTGGATCGTCGTCTCTACGGTGTTGATTTGGTGTCCAACAGTGCAATCTTCAGGCTACGGAAGAAACGAAAGGTATGGAGTTGATTTTTTTTTTTTTTACAATGACTTAGGTTTTCCTTTTTTCAAAAAATGGCATGCAATAAGGAATTAGAGAAACATGTTGGTGGAATCGAACTAATAGGAGGTGATGGATGAAATCAAACAATTATGTGGTTTGACACTATAGAAGAAATTGATTAATTCCATTAGCTCATTTCATGTTGAAAAAGTTTGATTGATTCTTTTTATTGAGTTGTTTTTTTGATCAAGTAAAGTGATTGATTTTATTTTAGATATAAAATTTTTTTGAAGATTAATTCTATTTTAGATCTAAAATTTTTTTGAAGGAGGATTTTGAAGATTTAATGGATCTTAAAACACCATAATCTCTTAATTTTAAAGGATTAAATGCTTGATTATTTTTTATCAAGAACATGACTTCATTTTGATTGGATCGTCGTCTCTACGGTGCTAATTTGGTGTCCAATAGTGCAATCTTCAGGCTACAGAAGAAACAAAAGGTATGGAGTTGATTTTTTTTTTTTTACAATGACTTAGGTTTTCCTTTTTTCAAAAATGGCATGCAATAAGGAATTAGAGATATATGTTGGTGGAATCGGACTAATAGGAGGTGACGGAGGAAATCAAACAATTCTGTGGTTTGACACAATAGAAGAAATTGATTAATTCCATTAATTCATTTCATGTTGAGAAAGTTTGATTGATTCTTTTTATTGAGTTATTTTTTTGCTTAAGTGATTGATTCTATTTTACATCTAAAATTTTTTTGAAGGAGGATTCTGAAGATTTAATGGATCTTAAAACATCATAATCTCTTAATTTTAAAAGATTAAATGCTTGATTACTGAATTATATTATGAATGGGTGCATTTTTTTAAAATAAAATTAGTACCTAATTTTTAGAAATTTCTCAGAATTTAGAGTTCTGTATTTGTATTTTTTTTAGCCAGGCACGTTTAATAGAACTCTCACAATCTCTTGCTATATCAGAGCACACTGTATCCAATCCAAACACAATGGTGACCATCTTTGAGGATAAGTGGGTTGAGAAGAATGACACTGAAAATAGGATGCGGTTTCCTAGTAATGCCAACATAGGAGATCTTCCATTTACTTGCAGCAACAACGGCCAGTCAGGAATGTTACCCGTTATAGATGAGAAGGGTTTTCAGTGGACACTTACCTGCAGAAATCAGAATGGAACGATATATTTCACTGATGGTTGGGAGGAGTTCAGAAAAGAGAAAGGCATTAGAGTTGGTCACAGGATCACCCTTTACAAAGATGATGACTCCTTCGGCTCTGGAGCTCAGTATAAGATTATAGTGATGGAAAACTAAGAAAAGGGATTGATTGTTGGATTTAATTTAATTAGATGAAATGTTTTTAATTCCCCTCTTCATTTACCTCACACGCCAGCCGTCTGTCGGAATCAGAAATCTGATCGCTGGCTGGTTGGGAAGATCCGCTCCGTTTAGATTTGTATTTTGTTCCGTTATAGTAGTCATTTACCTCAATCTGTCTTCCTCTATGCAATTTGTAAACCCCTCTTCAATTACAGACAACATGTGCCAAGAAGACGCAAATCAAAGGAATGAGGAATGGAAAATATGTCCAGGACTAATGAAAATATCCATCTAATTGTAATTTGTACATATCAGAGGAGAAAGGAA